GGCCAAGCTCAGGAGCCGCCGGTGCAGCTCCTGCAGCCACAGGTGACCAAGCACAGAGCCAGCGGCCCGAGCAGCATCACCCCACCCCTGCCCCCAGGCGATGGAAAGAACCGAGTCAGGGCTGGGAGCCACCAGCCAGCGAGCCGGGGGGCCCAGGTGACCCGAATCTGCGCAATTGCAGCCCATAAATGCGCTCAGGGCACAGCCACCTCCTCGCTTTGTGCTGGAGCTTTTCCCTGCCCTTCAAGCACACAACCCAACTACAAAGAGACTGTTAGGAAAAGTCACTTTAGTTGAGGTAACTGGCAGGTAGAAGATCTTGTGTTCAAGTCAGTGCTGCTCTGAGTGAGTAAAGATGACAGGCTGAGCTGGGGTCTTACATTTGAGCTTCTGGAAATCGTTTCTGTAGGGGTTGGTATGTCACTTTCGAAATGGTAATCAGAAGTTTAAGAACAGTTTAATTAAAGCATAACATCATACTAAATAATAATAAAAAGAGAAGTAACAAGAGATATATAAACCTACACATACAAAGCAACCTGAGCTCTTGGACAGTGATCAGCACTTGGGTGCCACAGGCCTCCACCGCATTGTAAGTGGAATAAAAGACACTTAAGAGACCACATGCCATCTATTTAATTTCAAGCCATACAGTTACCGCTGACCTGCTTTTGGGGAGGATTTATGTCTTCCAAAAGACCTTTGCACTCACACTTCGGATCCAAAGGCTCAGCGCCAGGGTGCAAGGCTTGCAGGAGTCTGGAAGAACCTGCTTCCCATTCCTCTGATCTTAGTTTTATGACTTCTGTCTAAAGCTTTGGATGAAGTGGAATGCAATGGCAAATGATAACTAGTGGGGTCCTAAAACAACTCCTGAGGTCTCAAAATATGGTTGCTTTCTCGATTGTCTGACCACAGGCATGGGCTGTTAATGCAACGCCAAAGCCAAAAACAGTATCTTAGTGTTTGACTAAACTGACTTTTAGCAATGTGGGAAAATTTCATCTTTACTGATTTTTGAAGTTATCAGTTGGGGAAAAAGGCAGATGAGAACTTTTCTTACTGGCTAATTAACAGGCTTCTAATTTCAAACTTGTATCTGAAAAGCCTGTGGATTGGTTGGGAGGGCTTTTGTCCATCTGTTTTATGCAAGGCTTAATCTAGACCTTGCTGTACAGCTAAACTACTTCATGTCCCAGTCATATCAAAGCATTTAAAGCCTTCTTGCTATTAGCATCTTCATTCTAGATTGTAAATATTATTACAAATAATCTTTGTAATGTCAGAGCAATCAGCAGTGCAATTTCCTCTGTTTGGGATAGTTAACCATAGTGGGTACTTATAAATTGGTTTTGGAGATAACATGTGGCTTAAGCTAACTAGACAAAGATATACTCAGTTGTGAAAATTAAAAACTAGGCAATGTAAGGACAGTTGTGACAGACTGCCCTTATTTCTTGAAGCAGCATATGGGAAAAGTCTAGAAATCAATTTTGTGTGAACCCTGAAGGCAGCGGACAAGTGAGTTCTGAGCACAGCAGGTTTCTCAGTCACCCTGAGCACAGAAAACAGGAGCTGGTGTGAGAGCACGGTAAGCATACTCCACCCGAGAGACATGGAACAGCCAGGAATGCAGAGCACACGAGGGCCTGGGGCTGCTGTCAGATTGCCATTGGCACCTCTTGCTTTGGCTCGTCTCCAGCATGCTCCCGCCAAGCACGGGCTCGCTCCTGTGCTGCACGTGGATTTGCAGAGCGCTGCACATTTACAAGGCGTAGCGTGGTTTTTGGACCTGAAAAAAAACCACCCAGCAGATGTTCATTGCTCCTAAGTTGTCTGTTGGCACGATGTGCAGTATCTTCCTAGTCTCTGTTCCTCAGAGTCTGGAGTAAAACAAGCTAGAATACATGAAATCCAGTGTCTTGGGCATCTTTAGGCATACTGTAAGAAGCAAGGACTGAGAAATAGCTACATTAAGTAGGATGAATAAAACAAATCCTCTTACACATTTAAAATGATTATTTGAAGGTGACAAACTGTGTTCATGCCCGAGCTTGCATTATTTCAACAAGGAAAAAGAGCTGGTTCAGGTTTCAGCCTCACTTCTCTCTAAGCCAACACCTAGAGGCAGGGTTTCTTGCACTGCTTATGCAGCGTCTCACCATGTTAGACCCTTCTGCAAGTCCAGAGGAAGCATCTCTTTCCTGATGCACATTTCAATGCTTAGTTCAGTTAATGGTTTGAGATAACAGAAATTTCTGTGCCCAGCAGGACCCCAAACCAGCCTCTAACTAAGCACCAGATATTCAGAAGCTGAACACTTGAAGCATATTAAATTACTAAAAACTCCAAGCAGAAAGCTTGTAATAACTTCCAGGCAGAAAGACTGATATTCATAGTCATTTTATCTGTATAAATAGCAAAGTGAACTTTGCTTGGGAGGAGTGTATTTGAAGTGCTAACTTAAATCACATTCCACATATAAAAAAGTAGAAAGATAAAATTGTTTCCAACATTTACCAAGCTATCTCTATACCAGTTCATTCTGGACCAAAATAAAATTGATGACTAAATTTCTCAGAGGCCACCGGCTTGGCAAAGAGTGTGGCAATAACCCAGTACATGTATCTTCGGTCCACGGTACCTTCTCAGATCCGTATTGAATGCCATCCAAAGAAATGAACTAGTCAGCTGTAGGAACTCTGCGAATTCCAGTTATCTTTGGAGTCTGTACCAGTGCAGGGTGTTCTCACATGCTCAGGTTATTCTAGTCAGAGCATTCCTGGTAGGAATTGCTCTGTGAAAGACTTTTGTGCCTTGCAGAGGCATTCAGGTGAATGCAAACTTGAGGCGGCATTAACAGCTTGGACACTGTTTCCCTGCAGTCAGCACCCAGTGACAAGAGAACAAAGACCACAAGGGCATTTCTGCAGGTGCCAGAGATGCCCGGCTGGAAGCCTTCCCAAATGGGCACCACAATGCCCCACACTGCAGCCGTCCCCGCTCCTCCCTGTGGACCCACTCCTGGCTGCAAGCGGGCACAGCGCTGTCCTCTCCCTGCCTACAGCCCTTCACACACCTTCATGGACTGCTGGGCCCTGGAGTCCCACCACCGGTGGCTCTGCAGGGAAAAGCAACAAGGGCTCTGCAGCCATGTTTCCCCTTGCTGCTCCCTGCTGCCAGGTCACGGATGCCCCCC